TTTAATGTTAGTTTAATTTACATAATAACACCAATTTCCAATTTGTTTTTAGTTCACCAGACAAGTAGAATTTATGTGTGTGTACATGTAGCAATTTTAATACGTCCAAAATGTTACTTGTCTTTTTATAGATCAGGTTGATCGTATTAGAAACAACATAGTTTAATTACTAATTTTAGATGCTGATTCAGATTTATACATTATTTTTGTTAGTGCATTTTAAATTTTTGTGAACACAGTTGACTTTTCTATCTAATATTACCTAAAAAGAAATATATGATTGTTTGTTTTTGAATATGTTCCGACTAGAGCGATTCTGAAAATTCTTTGAAATGAAATTAAAATATATTTATTGAAGGAAGCTTATTACAAGCACTTTTGAATCGTCCAAAAATTTTTTTTCCCATACCACTTGTTCAGTACCACTTGTCTTTTAGCTGACAGGAAGAACAAGCAAAAGAAACTTACCAGCTCTTAACCAGAAATGACATTTACATAAATCATGTCATTACCAAAATAATATGTATTATCACAATAATAAATACAACTTTCAAAGTGTGTAGGTTGTACATACAATTAGTCGTTATAGAACAAAGCGAAGGCTATTAATTCCATGCATTGCGGTCCTTTAAATAATCATCAACTTTATAATAGCCTTTACTTATAAGTATATTTTTTACATGAATTTAATTTATTTTTTCACCTACGGGAAGCTGCGTAATAGGCTACTGATATATACATTAATAAAAACTATATCTTAATATAAAAATACAGACAAAAACGCTAAACACTCGTTTTTCAGGAGTTGGTTTCTGTGCTGGTATGCTGGTATGAATACATTTGTAATATTATACTTATCTGTGATAATTACGAATTATAAACCGAATTGTATAATGAACAACCAAAAATTAGACAAGACTTCTAATATTTTGTCAGATGACACATTCATGTAGCTATGTTATCGCTATTGACTAATTTAAAAATGAAATTATATGTATGTACTTTTTGTATTTATGCTTGAATGTCACGATATGTTTTTGTGAATTACAAATGATTTATATCATAACAATTTTCGATAAAATAATCGTTTTGAAAAATAAGATTCAATGAAAGATCTTACTAGAGTACATTTCCTTTTAATACCGTAATTTTTGTATTATTTTTTATAATTAAATAAATATATTTTAGACAAAATCATTAAGATCCCGTTAAATAGCCTTAGCATTGTATTATGGAATTAGAAACAACGAAGGTTCGATGACTTCCGTGACCGAGTGATACGCGCGCCGGTCTCAAGGTGCCATCTCTGATATCCCGGGTTCGATTCCCGGTCGAGTCAATGTAGAAAATGAACTTTTCTATATCGTCTCGGTTTGAATGTTGTGTTATCTTCGTTGTCACAGACACTCCATAATACGGGAGCTTTAGGTATTCATGTTTGTAGCTACTCTTCTGAGCACTGAATGTATGTGATGTCGTCCCATATTTATCCCATAGAGGTCTCAAAATCTATATTTGATTGAAGATGTATAATCCTCTTATGTTCTTAAGATATAGGTTTTAAGTTGCTATAAGTTACACCACGACTAGAGTTTCAGATGGTAAGTAAGTAAAAAGGAAAACTTATAATTGGATCAAGATAAAGTCAGTTTACCTTATCAGGAACTTAAGTTGTCGTATGTTTTAAATAACTTTTATTTTAATTTGGACTTACTTTCCATTACCATGGATTTTCATATTCGCAATTCAAGTTTTTTTTATTTATGTAATACTATGCAGAGATGTAGAAAGGTAGACTTAATACATGACGCTTTCTCTTCCACTCAACATTGCGGTGATGGGGAGACCAATATCTGCCTACAGGGCCCAAATAAATATTATGTTTTCTTTTTTTTTCGAAATGTTGATACGTATCCAAACACAATTTTCGATTATTTATGATGCAAAGGAGGCAGGAAAGTTTTAAAAAACAATCGAAATATCCCCGATTTTTGTTCGAATACAAATAAAATAGGCCCTCAGGTGAATATTGTTCTGTGCTCAGCCATGCGATATTGTAAAAATCCTTACTTGAATCCAAAATTATTTCGAAAGCTTATATAAGTGTGGAAATTCTATTGATTTCACTTTTTATATAAAAATATAAAAGAAGATTGATTGATTTATACGTGTCTAAGGTATTCTATAATGTCCTTTCAAAACTCCTTTTATTTATGCTACGAAACTTTAATACCAATTCAAGGCTATGTCACTTTCGACGCGAATACCTGAGTGAAATCGAATTCGAGTTCGGTTTTTTACAGCTCTGCTGGTGTCATCTTAATACGTAGGAGTTGATACATCGTCGAAAACCTTCGGTATTTTTTATATTAGTAGAACTTATGGTAGGGGTACAAGCGAACTTCACTTTCGACGCCACATCGGTTGGCTCAATGCCAAACATTAATGTCAACCACAAGCGTCAGCGTATTTACACCTTCCGGTTCCTTCGTCGGTTTGTTTGTTTTTCTGTTAAATCCCAGCTCCTTTCCAAACATGGAGTAGTTTCCAAAACATGTTTTGTTGATACCTATACGTTATATTATCTATAAAATATTTATACTACCAGTAAAGTTTTATGGAGACAGTTTAAAGGAAACTAAGGTTTGGCGACAGTTTAAAGGAAACTAATATTTCGTAGGTAATATAAATTACGTGTTTATCGTTATTATAGCTTATATTTCAATAGGTATGAAAAAGTTCCACATTTTTGGAAATGGTGATAATTTTTTTTTTTCTATAAGATATTGTCAATATTGTATTGTTTTTGCAAACTATTATTTTTGTTTTCGCAGGAATTAACCGTCATCTTTGGATGGTCAAAATTTATCCAGAAAGTTTCACTGTACGAGAAAAAATAAAATAAAAAGGCGTGGTACTAAAACGGAATGGATGTATGCGTCACTCTTAACTAAGACTGCTAGATTAATATTAATTTATTTTAGACCATATTTGTATGTAAATGTCGTGTTTCTTAACTGCTTAAGGCATTAAGCTTACCTTAATCTAGATGATTGGATTCTAACATTATGTACGTTGCATGTTGGTTTTACATAAATATTTACTTTTATTTTTTATACTACGACATTATAGGACAACGCTACTAATAATTCGTGTAAGTTATAAATGTCAATAAAATTATTTCGGTTTGAAACCATATATATAAAAAAAGGATTTTGTGCCGTTCCCGTAAGAATATTAGGTAACTATAGTGTAGTGTTGCTTATTCTGAAGTCAGTTTTAAAATAAGTAATATCGTATTTTAATATATATTAATAACAATGTTCAACAGAAATCTTCCATTCGATTACGTTCTGAATTATAATTTTATTATTAACCTAACTAGGAATATTTTGAAAAGTGGATTTATTTAGAATGAAGAAATGAACTAGGTTATTTTATAATCCTACGTGTCTTTATCAAAACTCTTTCTTTATAATCCTACATTTAGTACATATTTTAGATTGATAAGTCCATGAATAGTACATGATTTCCAAAATGATAGTATTTTTGATATTATATTTATTTTTTATAAGGTGTTTCAGAAAAAAAACGTGTTAATAGAAAAAGTTTATTAAATACTTTTTTTTACAGATCAGTTATAATATGATACACGTTATAATAAAGTACTTGAAGGTGATCATCACCGCAGCTTATATTTAATTCGAAGGACACATTTTTCTTAAAAAAACGCATTAATATCTTATTACAATTTTGACGGATGGTTTGAAAGTAACAAGTCCTTGAGAAATTCGATAGTATTGGGTAGCTCAGTCGGAAGACTTGGGCGTCAACTCTACTAATGTTTTCGTAATAGTTGTGTCTCAATAGTAACTAAACTACTTGTATTTTACTATTGTACTATCTTTGAAGTCCAATATTATAAGTGGCATGTCTTCTTCACAAATCAGCGGTGACACATATATGTAAGTATATCCATATAATAGTCACCACCTGTAAAATTTCCACCTCTATTGTGCACCTCGTCTATTTGTCTCATCATCACCTTAACGGTGACTGAAAAATGCCTATGGCATTAAATCCGCCATTGTACATTTGCGCAAGAAGTATTAATAAATGCATATACAAAGGTTCTTTTATATTTTGTGATCTAGTAATCAGATGTATCAGGAACTGTTGTAATTCAGCGCTATTGGCTTTGAATAATTACGGTAACATTAGCAGAATTTAATTGACTTTTCTAGTTTATTTGGCATAAATATTATTTTTATTTCATATCGTAAACCGTTACCGATATAAGCCTGGATACGACGGGCAGTGCAGGTCCAATTGTTTTGGAGATTTATGGCGGAGGTCTACGCTCAGCTATGCTGAGTGGGGTCATATGGCTAATGATGATGATGATGATTATTGTAAGTTTGTTACGAACAGACCTCGGGTACAGAGCAATACATGTTTTTATCAATTTCCTGAATAAAAAGAGCATCCCATCGAAAACAACTTAAACACAAATTCATAAGTCTCGCAACGCAATTTTCTGAAGTAAAAAGTTTTGATATCAACATAAATGAAGTTGATTAACCTATTACTTATTTTTCTGATTTTAATTCAATCAACCTTGTAATCGAATTAGGAATACTTAACAAATGCACAGCATCATAATATTGGTACTTACTTTTTAAACAAATAAAACATAGAACTTTTAATATATTTTGTTTCGTGAAAGATTCTTTTACAGTACCTATGCGTTTGCTAAGTATTCTTAAATTATAAATTGATCTACTCTCTCTCTATTACTTAAAAATATTATATTCCATCAGATTTGTAGTGACACGTTCACAAAGCTGATTTGACTTTTGTAAACATTGCCTGAGATACTTATTCGTCCACTTCATCCTCATGTGTATTTTATTCAATAGAAAACTCGATAGTTATAAAGAGGCACACGATTTGTGCTTTTTAAAATACATTTTTTTATCGTAAGACTATTTCACCAACTGTCACTCCGCGGTGCTGGCGGTGGTCTGTAAAAAAATATTAATCCTAATTTATTACCAATGGAAAAATGTGTTTTACTTTGTTAGCTTTAACTGATCAACTTGAAGAAATAATTTATTATTAGTAAATTAGCAAGATGGATGGATAACATATTCATTGATTCAAAACTTTAACTTACCCAGGTGTATTCCAGTTGCTACCATCACACATGGCCGTGGTTGGAGTTTCCTGTGTACTGTTAACAGAAATCGTTAATTGAACATAAGCTAAGCTCTTCAAGCATCATTAATACCGTCTTTAACTAAATCAAGATATTCACAAGAATTATTAATGGAGTCAGTCCAGGAATTAGTGAAATGAAAAACAGATAAAGCGAAAAGATAACTCTTCAAAAACGTTTAAAGTTAACACAAAACACGGCGTCATCAAATATTGCTAACCCAGTTCCTAAGTTGGTGAGAGTCATTGCTTCATGTGCTCGAATTTTCCATCCATATGTTCTCCAAAGTCTCACAGAGAGTGGAGTCAACGCGGTACACCACAATAATCCAAGGACAACACCGCAGAACCACCAGCCATGCTGAAAATTGTTGATATAATTGTTATATTTGATCAATTTTACATTCACTATACTATACTGAAAAATATTTTTCATGAATGCTTATTAAATTCATCAGCTCAGATACCCCGAGATGGGACTCGAACCTACGACCTTTCGTAATACGGGCGACTATTTTAATCACTGAGTTACCCGAAATACAAGAGGACTGACGAATTTTTTGAGTACTACTTTGTCGCTACTAGTGAGCGTATTTTCATCAACGTTTAGGCAATCCACCCAAACAGTCGAAAGAAATATTTTTACACATATTTAGGGCCAGTTTCACCACTTGCTGATAAAGTCCTTTGTAGTCTATTTGTCAGATAAATTGCAAATTTTGGTTTCACAAGTCTTAGATAGAACTGTCTGACAGATAACATCAGTGACTTTTAAGTGTCAGATAGCGTTCTAAGTTAGATAATTATCTGGAACTTTATCAACAAGTGGTCAAATAGGCCCTTAAGCTTTCGATTAAGATGAAAATTGTATTCTCATTGTTATTTTTCACAGATTTCATTTATTTTTTTAATTTAAATTTTATTGGTATAAAGCTTTCTGATCTGGTATTTTATTTATTTATTTGTTTTTGGTTTTGTGATGTGAAAGTCGTTATTTCCATTAGAGCTTTTATTGCTCTTTCTTCTTATCAGGCAAAAGATATCCTGAACGAATAATGGGGAAAAATTTTAGACGATTGAAAAGTTACTGAAACAAGTTTACGTGAATAAACAGGCTTTGACTTTGACACTCTACCAGCAGCTGCATCAGCGTGTTTTACACGTTAAATTGATGCCATATTAATCCCTAGCTGTTATGTTAATACTTTATGCTCAAGAATATACTTATACCAAATTTCTTCAAAATTGGTTAGTCGTGTCTGCGAGAAACAGTAAACATACCTCACAAACTTTCGCATTTATAATACTAGTAGGACTAGTAGGATGATTTTACTTAAGGTTTTACAAATACTAATTCTAGTCAATCTCCAAAATGAAGTTTCCTATACTCTAGCAAACACAGATACCTTTATAGTTGTCGCAACTCTGAAGACAGTACCAAGTGAAGGTGTTAAGAAAGAGGATACTGTCTTTATAGATCTAAATATTTATTACTCGTAATAAAGAGCTGATAAGTTTCTTTCTCAACCAAAAGACGTCCTGAACGAGTGGTAGGGGAAAAAATTTGGACAACTAAAAGTGCTTGCCACAAGCTTATTTGAATAAAGTATTTTTCATTTTCATTTTCTTCATCCTTTCAGATTTAAATAATACAGGAACTTTAACTACTTTGTATGGGATCTGAGAAATGTCTGCGATTATATTTTTAGTTTATTAATTAATCTTACCAATGACGATATGTATTTAGTACAAAATAATGTTCTCAAAGCAGAGTAGACATTAAACAATGGCTTGCATCGGGCCGCGTGCTTGCCAACTGACATCAGGACATGAGTTCGCCATCCAGCAGCATGTGATATAAGCCGAGACACGTACATTGACACTTTCTGGAATCAAATCAAGTATGAATGAAGACAAAAATATGTATTCGTAATTAAAAATGCTTCAAAATCCACTTTGCCCCCGGTACTCTGAGACGGGATTCGAACCTACGATTTTTCTCAGTCGCTCGGACAGCTCTAATTACTGAGCTACCCAAGATTTAACAGGACTGACTAGTTTTACAACTATTTTTTACTTTTTCTTTGAAATTACTTGAAAGAAATACTTTTAAACGTATAGCATTGTCAATGCTATCCTGAAAAATATTCTTAATAAAAATTTTATTATGATAGAATGTTATGGCTTAATTAGTCTTGACTGATTTTGACAAGAGATGGTCCTGTTATAGATGATTAGCTATACTAATATTATAAAATGCAACGTTTCTGATGTAATTTATTTCTTTTTAGGGGCTAATCTTCTAAAATATTGATTTTTATTTTATTTTCATTTCTTATTATTTTTGGGAGCTTACAGTATCACCCTCCACGTGAATACATCTATATACTTATAAGCTTCTGCAAATACGATTTTATGATGAACATTTTTTTCACCTACGGAAAGCTATATGAGACAGGTGTACTCGTACTTTACGCGGACGAAGTCGCAGGATAATAGCTAGTTCTTTGATATTTTTATAATATTGTTTATTCGTCAATAATAATTTAATAATTCAGTTTTTGATTCAATTCAACTTCCTGTAATATTTTGATGATTCCATTTACCTTTCTGATTTTTTTTATTTGGCAAGAATAATTGTATAGAAAGTCAACAGTTTGTGCTTTTGAATATGCGTTTCTTAATTAACACAACGTTTGCTATTAAATTACATATTCCATTACCTTCTGTGCTATGACGTCACCCTGGTTATCTATATAGTACTGAGCGGTGTGTATATGACTGAGAGATATATTTAGTTTTCTTCTGAAAGGCAACAATTGAAGTTCCAATTCTGTTAGGCGATACACGATGTCGGCTTTGGCTTGCTCCAGAGGCTTAATGTTTGTCAAATAGAGCCTTTTTGTACGGGTTGCTGAAATAAAATTTTATAAACTACAAAATACAATTCATTCAATCACCTATACATAGAAGCTAAATACCACTATATAATTGAATCACTTATGGAATAATTATGCGTCACCTAATTATACAACAGTAAAGGTAACTTTGTTGTATTAAGCATTTTAGGTTTTGTCTTCTGTAAAAAAATCTCCTTTCTTTTTTTCTTCTGTAAAGTTCAATGAATCGACAGTTTAATTAATTACCTTTGGTTAGGTTTAATTTTGTAGTCTCGGTGGCGTAGTGGATAAGCGCCGCGGCCCGCGATCGTTGTCGTTAAGCAACTTTCAAGGGTAGGTCACGGGATGGGTGACCAAAAAATTATTATCACGATCTACTCTGTGCCTCGAAAGGCACATTAAGCCGTTGGTCCCGGCTGCATTTGCAGTAGTTAATAGCCTCCAATCCACATTGGGCCAGCGTGGAGGGTTATGGCCCATCCTTCTTAACCATCCACAAGGAAGGTCCGAGCCTGCAGTGGGGACGTAAAAGGGCTGATGATGATGAGGTTTTATTTTATTGATTCTCAATTGAGGTAATAACGCTGTGTTCAACGCTGTATTTTTAACAGAATAGCACTGGAACATTCGATATAAAGATCTTTATATTTAAAATTTAAAATAAAATCATTTAAATTGATTTTTAAAAAGCTTCTTTTTAAAAATTGCAGAATGAATGTGTAAAAGCATATAAAACGTTTGAAATACAATTACCCAGTTGGTTGATTTTTACGCCATGACATAGGGTATTTGACTTAACAAGGGTTGAAACTCATGAATTAATTAACCAATGGCATATAATAATTACGGAAGGACAAGTTTCATTAAAGGCGTACCAGCGAGGTCTTACAGAGTTACAGTAGTTGGATCTGTTAGAAAATTATACCATTTGTCATTTATTATTAAATTGAGGTCGTCCTAAATAGGGCAGAAATTTGAAGATCTCCTCATTGAAATAGAAGCAAATATCATATAATCTTTACATCTCTCTGAACGCGCTAAGATCAAAAATTTACGACTTTTTTTTTCATTTAGTAATTCAATATTATGTATGATCATTTTGAAATATATAAATGTGGTGGTGCGATTCTTAGCAACTACATGTAAATTGTATCTATGTGAAGTCGGGGCGAGACGCTAGGTAGCAGGCGGGTAGTTTTTTTTATAAGAAATTTAATTTTGGTTAATTTTAAGGTTATTTTTTTGTAAAATTGCAGTAACAAAATCATCAATATCTAATTTATAAAATATTCTATTTTTTTTGCAAATTATCTTTTATTTCTGCGCACTAAAACGCAAATAAATAAATTCTAAACAAATTAAGCACTTACAATTAAAATTTTCTCTAACAGTAATTGACTTGAAACACGTAGCGCTAATGAAATCGGAGACGAGGAAACACATTTTTAACGCGCTACAATTTTATTATTTACCTTGTCAATTACCGTTACAGACAATTTGAAATGTTTAGAATTTGTTTTCTTTTTTTTTTTTACATTTAAGTGCGCACAAATATAGGCTTGTTTCCAAAAAAACTTTGTTTATGACATTATTTTTAGTTTATCATCATCACTAGACTTTGATCTGGAAAACATCCAGTACCAAAGTCTTTTTAGGTAAGAATCTAAGTTCCTATGACCACTTTGCGCCTTCACCATAATTTTAGCTTATTGACACCATAATATTGAACTGTCATTGAGAAGTGGGTCATATTTGAGTTCCAAGATTTGCGCAATAACTAACATACTAACTAACAAGGCAAGTTAAATAAATGCTTGTAAAATATGATAGCATAACTGACGTTATAATTTTCTGGTTATAGTTGTTTTAATACAAAACTTTTTAATTAATGGGTACCATATGCGGAAACAATGGAAAATAAATAACACTATAAATGTTGAAATATATTAGTAGAATGAGCCTAAAATGGTAATAACAGCTTGAACTCAGATGTTGAAGATAGTAGGTATTAGGAGTTTGTCTTGTGTTATAAATTCCAACTTTTAATAAATATTGTTTCAAGGTACGTAGTCCCATATAAAGATTTACAAAGTACAAGTGGGGTAGCCTTGTCGAATTTCAAATGCAATGTTTGAATATTGCATTATCCAAAGGTCTAAAGTTACCTTCGCGTATTAATATAGAGTTTTTAAAGTCAACGCAATCAAATTTTATTTCATCACTAACGTTTATCTGAGATATTATATGCAAAGTAATAATTTGAAATTAACTTATAACTTTTACCTAAAGTCTCCAATCGCCCAGCTGTTGTAAGGTCTGATATCTGTGCAGCTATATTCTGTAATTGGTCCACTAGTGACGGTAAATCTCTCCCCATTATAGGCCCGTTGTAGTTCATTCTAAACATAAACGTAAATTAGTCTTACGAAATAATATATATATATTTATTTTCCGTGAAATTAGCTGGAACAGATCATGCATAAAAAGAAGACATGCGATTGCATGTCGTGCGGCCGCCACGGTGGCCGCTGGTGCGTGCTTGCTGAGATAGTGGACGAGCACCTTTAGTTATCATTCATTCAAGGGCAATAAGAATCATTGCGTATTATAATTTTTACAGTTTTTCAACTAGCTGTATTTTAGCTGGCATCTGGCTTGATTAGTTCAAACAAAACATAATTTAAATGAAAATTAGCTTCGATTTTTAGAAGCAGCTAGATCATATCTTTAATTTTTCCAAGGAGCATGCAATATGTGTGTTTTAGCAAGTTCAATATTATATTAAAGAATTTCCTTTGTGTGACTCAGTACTGTGTGATTTTCTTGGCAATCTTGTCAAAAGGCTTTTTAAACAAAGAGTAAAGGAAAACCAATCCTTTCAATCGGCTTGTACAAAATCAAGTCGAACAGTAGCTGATTCTAAGGGCTTTTGTTTTCCCTTTCATTCCCGAATGTACCGATGGAAATATTTATTACTATGTAAAATACGAATGGAAGGTCATATACTCGTATCTAACATATTCCATACAAGTTAATAGCTTTTTAACTTTAATGTTTTATTTAACTTGTTATTTAGGCTCAATAGTTTACTACAAAATGTCAAATTTAAAAGATAAGGGCTTAAATATATAGGGGAAATTCGACCTCTTGACCACCTTTGACATAGCGTGCCGACTTGTTTCACTTTTAATTGAAAAGTTAGTTCTTATAATATAAGTAACATGAACTCACCTGTACTTCGCCAAATTTACATCTGATACTACGAGCATCTGATTAAGAAGTCTGTGAAAATTTATTGAAATGGTCTTAAGGAGACCAACGTCTATAGATGATGCTAGCCTACCCAAGTCGGCTTGTAATTCGCCCCATTCGAAGTATGAAGTTTCTTTGTTCACGTCCAAAACTTTGTCCAGTTGAAAGACTATGTAAGCTGGACTATCTTTCTCGCATTCCCTGGAAATTAAATATGACCTCAATATTATAACGATATTTAGTTTCATTTTACTACTTTGACATGTCTTTTGGTAGATAAATTTGGGATAAATTACTTACTAAGTTTGAAACACTGTTGTCTAATTCATATTAATCATTCGTTTGTCATTATTAAAGTATATATCGAAGTAGTAAACTGAAAAGAAATAGCGCTTTAACATCGCTAAGAGCCGTGTTCTATCAACTCTTGACTTCTCAATTTTTATCAGCCGTTTTAGTATTTTATTTAAATTAATTGTTTAATAAAGCACGCCATTGAATGAAAATGTCTATATAATTTTGTCAAACCATTTTCCAGTTAAGAGAAATTGAATTCTTTTCAAAATTATGAAGTACCAAATCTATGAATATTAAGTTCTAGGTTCAGTATAAGTACTTATAATATTCCCCTCCGTTAGAAAACATTAAATGCTAAAAGAATATCTACATTTCACATATTTTTTATATTTTTATCTGAGAGACGCCATCTCTTGCCTCTCCTTTACAGTTTGAATAGGTAGTCATAAATGATTTATTTTCTGTTATTTAAATTTAAAATAACGCAACGAAACTTAGAGTAATAGACCAAACAATATTCAAAAACCAAATTATAGTAATAAACAACTAAAGGCTTGCCGCACTGTGATAATACACCGCGCGATTTTTAACCATTTGAAAAAAACATAGAATTACATCAGCTAAAATGTTGTGGGAAGTATAAAGAGGATTCAGGTATGGAAGGGGATACACGGATCTAATTTCATTACTCATGAACACCGTAGACTGAAGACTGTAAACTGAATGGTTTTATGTAGGTTTTGAGAATCTAGATTCTAGAGAATAAGAGTTTGATAGAACTCTGCTGCATGTTTTGCAGGATATTTATGGATACTGCACAGTATGTGTGAGGATATACGGTAAAATGTATCTCTGATTAGGTCGAAATACTAGTGTTAAGTAAGATTGCATGGATGGCAAAAATGTATAAACACAGAAGAGGTAGAATACCGAGAAATTTAAACCATGGCTTATATGAAATGACTTAAGTGATGGATATACTGTGATCCGTTTTCGCTTACGTTGAATTTGAATCAATCAGATTTTGTTCCGATGTTTATTTTAATCGCCAGAGCGGATTAAAAAACGCACAGTGGAATATCACAGTACATATAGGTTCTAAATTAAGCATTCCAATCATCTTACTGTGAAATCTACTTAAAATTATTATAGAACGTTAACCTTAAAACGTCTTTGATTGAAACATCAATCGTGACATTATCGAGTTCCCTAAATAGAGCGTCAAATATTCCTTCATCATTATTTAGCACCGGCGACGGTTTGTCTAAGAGGGCTGACAAAGTTTCATACTGCGGTTTGTCCCATAGGGCGTGGCACACGTACACCTGTCAATAATAAAATACAATGAAAATGTTATGATAATGTTTTGAATATCTTTTCTTTGTAACATTACATTGTCGTGTGAGGCAGTATCTTTGAATTATACCGGTTAATCTTATTGGTTGTTTGTTTCAAAAAATGAGTGAGTGGTCACACTATGATATAGTTTTTAACTTTTTAATTGTTTGATCAAAATGAGAATATATATGCAAAGCTTTTATTTCGGCCATACATTGCCAACTATTTCACATAAAGTAAAGGAGAATGGGCAGAATTCGGCTAAAATTACGCAAAATTGCGCACTAAGCATTTATTTATCAAAAATTTTCTCCCTATTTATAATTTATTCTATACAAATAGTATTTTAAAATTACGCGGCATTTAAAATTAACTCAATTGAAGCAATTGCTTAATATAACTACGACTACCTACTAAGTTTCCAAGTTATTAATCGACTTGACGTGGGAATTTCCTATCACAAATTTTACAAAATAAAGTATTTTAACATTGATAATGTTGGTCAGGTATTATATTGACCTTTTTTTTTAATCAGCCCAGTTGTTTTTGAGTTTATCTTTACAATAAAAAGCAAAGCATTCGTTTTTATAACATAGGTATGTACTTTTTCACAGTTAAATGTTTCTAACTGTTAGTCAACAATTATTTGAAATAAATAATTCATTTTATTGCTCTTATATACGTAGATATTATTACGACATAACCTCAAAATCCTTGTTAAATATTCAGATATTCTCCAACTCCGGCATAAATTTAAAATTATTTTTTTCCTACTCGTTCTAATAATAATTCTCTATCATTTGCCGTTAGTTTCAACAAGGTGCATAGTTACGCAAAAATAGCCGAACTCTCATAATAAATTGCCCATTCTCCTTTGTAGGGGCAAACAAAATAGGTATTAAGATAACTAATATATAAAATAATTTAATTCTAATAATTACTCCGAGATAGAATATTAACTATAAACTCAGGTTATAAATCTGTAAGATTTGTACGAGGGTGACAAGGGCATAAAATGTCCCCACAACGACCCATACCCTAATGCATAGGTTTTAATAATTAACTATAATCGCAGAAACATATTACGTTTTCTTCTATTCCTTTATATAGTTAAATAATTATTCTTTCGTTTCGATTCATTTCAAAGACTTAGTCATGTTTAATTTTTTTTAATATTAAAAATTATGATATCTAGTATTTTAAAACTTATACATTTATTTTCGTTGCACATTTTTACACACGGTTATTAATTTTATAGCATTTTCGTACTGTTCTTTACTTCATAATCCGCATAATTGTTAAGTGTTAAATTAGTAAATATCCGTAAGTGAAATGTAAAACAAAATGCCTACCGTTTATTAACGGCAAAATAAAAGCTGCGCGTATTAAGTGAAGTAAGTCAACCACTCAAAAGTTATTAAATGCACATCTGAAATTATTAAATGAATAACAAGATGCACAAATTGGCTTATATCAATTTAATATCAACTATAATACTGATGTACAAATAGTAACTCTTACTTAGATTAACAAGATTAGAATTTTTAACCTTATTACCTTATTAAAATTAGCAGTAAGTGAGACATGTAATTTCTATTTGCTTTAAAAAAATCATATAATGGATATCTATGTATAAATGGAAGGGTTTACCCAATTTATGTAGGTATCGGTTTTGAATAGTTCTGAATTTCCGTATAAAATTAGTACTTTAGTTAAGTGGCATACATTATTAATATATTAGGTATTATTATCAAATTTACCTCAGCGTGTCCTGTTATAAGAAATATAACTGATATGACACCCCACAAAATAAGCGATGAGAAACACACCCACACCGCCGATCTGAATTAAAAGAAATATAACGTTTACGAAACAAAACTTTTATTGATTAATATATATCAAAGTTGATCTTAAGCAACTTTCGCAAAGGTCGGTCATGGGATGGGTGACCAAAAAATTACTATCTCGAGCTACTCAGTGCCTTGGATGACACATTAAGCCGTTGGTCACGGTCGCATTCGTAGTCATTAGTACCCTCCAATCCGCATTGGGCCAGCTCTGACGATCGAAACATCCATATGGAAGGCCTGGGCCCATGCAGTGGGGACGTAAATGGGCTTTAATTTATATTAAATTTGCTTACTTACATTTGCAATGTCCTTTTGCCGTGGTCTTTGGCGTTACCGCATCCACACATCATGGCAAATATCACTAATGTCATAACAGAGCTGAAACTGACCACGCAAGCTGAAAACCGTAATTGGTATGAGTGAAGAAATAGGATGAGACGTCACAGGATGAATACGGAACCCTACAAATTGTTTCTTTTATTTTTAGTTCCGATTCCCGATTTTGCAGTCGTGTTTTTTAACTTTTAAATTATTTCTTATTTTGCAAGCTGGTGGCCAAAATATGTTAGCTCAGGCTACACTGGACTTCGGCAAATCGAAAAATATGACAGTTTTGAATTTCCGACTCTTTTCTTATCTACGATTAAAAAGTTGAATAACTATTTTAAATGCGTTATTATGTAATCATTACATTATAATAAACTTGATTACTAATCAAGTTTAATTGTTCCCGACACAAGATATATCTAATCTCTTATTTTTAATATGTTATATTAAAGATATCATATATATTAGTTATAATTATTAATAATTTACTCAACTTTTTCTTATCTATAATGATGAATACCTATCAAAAGATTACAAAATAGTATTTTTCTTCTATAAAATTATGAGTAATGGGTGCACATATCATACATATATCAACAGTACTTTTCTGCAAAAGCAAAGATACATCGTCGAACACAGGGCTGATCATATAAAACCTACTTCATATTGTATCAAAGGACTTATTTGATTGCAAATAATGCTCTGCCAGTCTCTGTTCGACGATATTTTGGGACAGAGTAGCAAAGCTTCTCGCAAAGACGCCAACTTGAAATAGCTGTAACGAGATGAAATACAATTAATTACCCAACATAAGAGTCCAACGCCAGTAGTCGTATCTCTGCACTCTATCCAGGCTCGCCTCTAATTGCCTCGCGACCGAGTGGAGCCCCGTCGTGAGGTGACGCACTATATCATTCAGAACTTTTGCCGAGCCGTGCACGGCTTGTCGTCGTGTTTCGATGTCATTAAGGATGTCTGGTTGTGAGTGTTTTAAGAATGATCATTAACTTGCAAATGCAAGTTTTGAGGCATCCGAGGAAAAATAAAAAGCGTAATGTTATTATATGCCAGGACTTCATGGGGTCGATAAGTTAAATATACCGAACAACTTTTACTATGGGAGCGACACCAAAATAATATCAGCTGTTTCATATATAATTGTGATACCTACAATCTGCAACATTAAGAAACAACCGACTATATTTTCGTGAATTCAGTGTCTCTCATAGTAAAAGTTATACAATAAAATTCACTTATCCGCCATATTAAGTCTTGCAAAATTTCGTCAACGGATGGGTGACTAAAAATCAGTAATATCGAGGAAATTGTAGTCATTAAGCACAGATTTCTTTTAAAGAAAGAATATGAGTTATGAGCTAAAAATAAAGTTGACATCACTGACCTTTTCTTGCTTGTATTGTTTGAGTAGTAATAGCGGAAGGTAATATCCTGAACTCTTTCCTAGCAGTTGCTATTGCTCGTGTTAAGTTTTCAACACCAAGAGTTCGAAGTTCCAATAATTGGGTCTCGTGCAGTATCTGAATAGCATAGAAATGATTGCAAAATTTTTTTTGTAAATTTATTCTAATAGATCTATGTCTCAGCAATGGCGTCAATAAATAGGCTGATGACGATTCATTACAGTTAATTTCTATAATTAATCTCCAGAAAAAATAGTAACGAAGTAAAAAAAGTTCGTGAAAAAAGGTTTGGGTTCGAACAGAGCCAAGAAAACTAAGTTTTTAACTTACCCATTCAAACTTTATCTGTAGTTCCAAGGCGTTTGCATTAACAGTGTCACAAAGTGGAGTGTCTTTCACTGTACAATATTTTTTCATATTATCGAGTTGATTTGCCAGGTCTTTAACCCTGTCTGAAGCAGCAGCAGCCAATAGTCCCGCCTTCATACTTACATTACGTAAAGAAGATATCTTTTTTGACAGATCTTCGCTTTCTAGAAAGATAAATAATGTTTTTTGTCTGAGAAATTCCACTTTGTATTTAATTACTATATATTTAATTATTATAATGAAACATCTTTAATTTCAATAGTCATACTGCAAAGAAATCAATGTACTAATGTCATCAAAAAAACATTTTTATGCAAAATATTGCCACGACCAAATGAATTGATCTTATGTATAGTCAAGCTTCTAATTCGTGTAACGTACGTTATGTCATCTAACGTATTCGTGTAAGGTATTTTTATAAATAGCCGATACCTACACCATTGCGATTTCCTATGCTCATAATAGTTTTTTATTATTGTAAATATTAATCACAAAATTATAATTTTTGATTTTATTTATCAAACAAGTACATGTTACTTCGCTATTAGTAAGTGAATTTTTCATAGCCAGGCAATTGACCAAAACAGCGGATGGAAATATGTTTTAAACTTTCGATTAAGAAGAAATCGTATCCCAAATGTGAATACAAATTGATTATGAAAATTTTGTATTCATATATAATTATTGAAAATTCATAGACGAGAAACCGACAAACCAATTCGAAAAGTGTAATTATTGCCCTTGCACTTCGTTTGGCACGTCTTGTTTGGTTACTACCGTGGCTCCTAACTTAGTTATCCATTTACTGGCTTTTATTCTAGTAGGTTTCTTCTTTTTTTGTATTTTGAAGTAAAGTAATAGGTATTAATAATATAATTCAGAAACACATAAACTATACAATAGGTAAGAAAATGTATAATATTAATTACGATACTTATTCTTACTTATTTTATTATTTATCTTGTCTTTGATTCCATTATTGTTTAGTAAAATGAAGTATATTAATGAATTTATTATGAATTTATAAATGAAGTATATTAAGACTATCCGAAATTCAGCATTTCATCAAGTGTGTCTATATTTCGTAAGTAAGTAAGTTTTAATACTAAACTTGAAATATAGGCACACTTGATGAACAATGGCCACTTTGTTCAAGATTCAAGAGTTTACTGTCAAAATACCATCGTAGATTACAGAGAGTTACAGACTTTTAAAAGTTTAAAGCTTCTTCATATTTCTTCATCAAAACAATCATAAATATTTAAGATTAAATAGCGACTCGAAGTTTACTTTGCTCAAACAAATTTATGCGTGTAATACGGCTTCAAAGAAAATAAGGTGGAATATAAATTTGACGTGAGCTTTGTTTGAATAGAAAGCGATATCTGTATACACAAAGTAGCTCGTTCAATTATGATGCATATTTTGATTCATTGGAGTACCTACAATAATAATTTTGATCATAAAATCATGCTTAGTATATTGTTTTGTTAAAATTTATGGACAATGTTAAAATTTTCCATTCACAATGCCTGGACATTGATGACAATACGCTCTGTAGTAGTGAAAAAGTAACAAATGCTTGAAGAATTCGACAGTTCTGTTAGGTCCTTAGGTCCTCCTTAGTGGTTAGAGCAGTCTCCCGGATTGCGAAAGGTAGCGAGTTCGAATCCTATCTCAGAGCGCCAGGGACAAAGTGGGTTTTTAAAGCATTTTTCATTAAGAATATATACTAGTATGACTGTTTTCTCGCGATCGTTGTCGTTAAGCAATTTTCGCAAGGTTCGGGATGGGTGACCAAAAAAAATATTATCTCAAGCTAAGCCGTGCTTTGGAAGGCACGTTAAGCCGTTATTCCTTGCTGTTGGTGGTTGTTAATACACCCTTTAATCTCCGTTGCGCCAGCATCCTCCTTAACTAATAAATTATTAGGTACCTGCTATGATATCTGCCAGAGAATCGAATACCAAATCGATACCGCTTTCTGATGCTATGGCTTGTTGTATAGGCTCCCCCAAAAGCACCTCGATATCTGGAATCAATTGTAAAGAAAATATAACTGGGTGTGGTATCAGCACATATCACTAGACGGCGCTGACTGTATTTTGAAATGCGCTAGCAATTGGCAGCAAGCTTATATTATGAAGTGGAGTTGCTCGCTGACGGTTCTCACTAGATGGAGCTGTCTGTATTTTAAAACTCGCTAACGATTTGTATTTCTAGCAACGTTATATGGTGAAGTGGCAGCCGGCCGGTTTATTATTGTTTACGACATTCTTCTACTACGCACACATATCGTTTGCTAGAGAGAGAGATACTTTGATAATTGTTGATCTGTATTTCGTGACGTTTTTAAAGGTTACTTGATTGATTCTTATTACAATAAATGACAATTTGAAGACTTGAATACATTTGATATGTTAAAATTATTAGTAACAATAATTAGTAAATTAGGTTTATAATGGGTTTTAATAGTGTTTATTTCGTGAAAATAATTTGTCAATGGTTTATTTTTCATTTATTTGTAATACTTAATAAAAAACAACATCAAAAACTGTATCTAATAAGTCAATCAGTTCACTTTATGTGACTTGGTTGTTGAACTGTACCCATTAACGTGTAAAAAGTTTTCAACGGCCAGTCATATAAAATTAAATATAATTTGGCTTAACTTTGTCTTGGCGATTTCATTACTTTTTATAAATAAACAAGCAGCTCCATCGATTTATTGTTTTAATATACACGAACAATATTTTATTGCAACTTGCAATTTCTTCTAGGATTTGTATTTTGAAAATGTTAATAATGATTTCGTATTTGTATCAAAAAATTAAACTAAAAATAATTAATTAAAAAAATATATTGCTAATTTCAAAATCATATCACCGTAACTTATTTATATCAATTCGTTTTTTTATCGATAAAATTTCGACAAAGAACGTTACTAAAGTAACAATAGTCAATCTATGGGCTTGCAAAAACTTCTAACAACCTACATAAATTGAGACATGAATGATATTATACATCTCTCTCAAACGCATTAACAGTGGTCGATATTAACTTTGTAAGTAATTTCTTGAATAATTTACGATATTTTTTGAAGTTAGAGTAAATTATATTTTAATTAACTTTATAGCAATAATAATATCCATGTCCAATATCGTCATTAAAATGGAATATAGAATAGGTAATCATGGTAATAGGTTTACATCAGATTGTAAGGACCATATATTTCGTTGACTTTTAAAAGGATAAAGCTTCTTCGAAATAATTGGGCTAGAGCCAAGTTTAGACGAAGCTAAAACTAAAAGATATACGAATGTTTAGAATTCTAGTTAAATGAAGTTAGTACTTCATCCCACGGATTATTAATAATATCTGCAAGTGTTTAAATTCTGGCGTAATGAAAAGTTTTTTTTTTGGGAATTATAACAGTTAAAGGCATGCAATTCGATTTTAAACGCTATTGAGTTATATTTATAGTTTAAAATCGTTTGAAGTTGGTTATTTTTTATAATCTGCGATGTTCTGCGTACATCAACGACAGTTACTTTTAATATAAATATCTCAAGGGAACTGCAAGAGCAATGGGTTATAATCTTCCATTAGGTACAAATAAAAGCAGCTTTAAAAGCCGGTAATAAGAAAATTGATAAACCCTATTTCAGCATCAAATAAAGGGAAAGAATATTCAGTAAATAAATAAGCCTATTTGCTTCTTATTGCGAAATACCTTTTTGAATTTTTTAAGCACTGGTAGTAACTAAATATTTGTTTTTATTTAGTCTGGAGACAGATTTACTTGTTCATAAAATATTCTGATTATTTTAAAAGTACATTATTACTTAGGAATAAGTAATAGTTTGAGTGACACACATCAATCGCCACTTGGCCTGTGTTTGTGTTAATCCACGGTAAAGATTGTGCCTCAAGAGTTGAGACATTATGATGATGATGATGACAACAAAAGAGTTTCTAATCGATATTCATATCATATTTTTTACAACGGATTTTAACCTTCCGAGTGGTAAGTGTAAGTTTTACATTGACGTGATCACTAGTGAGCGCTTTAAGAATTCGTATGGTTTTTAGCTGTACTACTGTAAGACTTTTATATTTAACGCGCTCACGATCGACGGTAAACGTTAACCTCAAAAAACTTAGGCTAAGCGTTCAGACGTCATTTCAATCGTATAAATCGAGTTTAACACTATTAATATGACGTTAAAGCCATTAAAGGCCGACTACTGGTGCGGAGCCGACTTCTGGGTATTTTACCCTATATCTATCACCATTGATGTATGAGGAAGACATTCAACTAATAATATTGTACTTCGGGTAGATAGTATATTGTAAAATGCAGGTCGTTGAGATTCTATTAAGATGTGATTATTACTTAAATATTAGCGGAATTGACCTGCTCACTGTAGTCAGCACTTGAAGCCCGTGGGCCACTACCTGACAACTTGAAATTGACAGCCCGCCATAGGTTATTTATTGATATTATAAAATGTCTTATAATCAAATAACATTTAACGATCAAATTTAAATTACAAGTTAATCGTCGAGTTGGAGCCGTGCCGTGGTAGTGTGCTATGACCTTTATTATGCCGTTGAAACACTTATCGTGTCCTTTCGTTAGCGATACGTCTGTGATCAAACATCTTTGATATGGCTCTAAGCAAGGGGTTTTCTGTAGCTTCAATGTGAATTGAAGAGCTCTCCGCAAGTTACAATCTCTATAAATGTGTTGATTTGGCAAACGAAACAAAATTTTCATGAAATATACAGATGTTTGCCTTTAATCAAAACTTTTATATTATTTTATGAAGCTATTTCAACCGTTTCTTGCAAGTTATTATTAGTCTGTTTGATTTGTTAGTTTGTTGTTGATATAGTAAATAGGTATATGTAAAAGCAAAATATGTACTTTACATAATAATAATTTATTACTAAATCTTTTCAATATTATTTTGAACGTGAAACGTGAAATTTTTGAACTTGAAATTTGGATGCGTTGAAAAGTTTTCAAACTCTATCATAGATATTATAATATAGAATGAAAGTCTATATTTGTCATATTATGTTTTGGCTGATATACTAAAGTTTAGATTTTGTGATAAAGACAAAACATCGTAACATTCGTTAATATAAACAGTACTCGCAAATTTTCTTTCAAGACTCTTCCTGTGACTGAAATCACTACGCACGGCGTCTAAGTAGGCAGCTTACAATAATTTTCATCATATCTTATCTAACAGTAAATACTAAGTAAGAAGTATAACGTTTTGGAATATTCAGAATGTAAAAATAATTATAACTGCTGCATTTTTATCGGAACTAAATCTCTTAATTTCACAAGGAAGAAAATTTAAGTATACTCGTTTCTTATATTATCACACACACTACTCATTAAATAAAACTAGATTTTGACTGTTTTATTGCGTGTATTTTTAAAAGAATTATTTCGTTTCTCAGAGTTTTGAGAGTAGTTTTATTTAATGTCAGTGTAGCAAAAAAAAAATTTTTTTTTGCTCCAACAAGAGACCGATGAAGTATTCAGCCATTGGTTTAGATATGATCTTAGCAGACCTACACAAATAGTCACTTTAACATAACTGGTATTTTCTTGATCGTCAATTGAACTTATAAGGCCCGCATTGTAATAAAGCCCACCTTTGAAACTGCGTGGTAATACACTTCATTTCTTGTCTTAGCTTTACTCATTATGCATCTATAGATACGCCGTGTTATGCATGTGTGAGTAAAGTTTGGACAGGAATCGTAGTATATTAGAACGATATTTGAAAGGCGGCTTAATTACAACGCGGTCTTAATTTCCGCATGTACCTTAGACACAGTATTATAGTAAGTATAGGATGACAAGTTCTTACTTTTGAGATCTTCTCTGTACGCGTGTTGGACGAGATCGACGGGTGGTATGAGACTGTGATGCAGTTCCCTCGCTGCCGCCACCAGCCAGGATGCTACGTCGGCGCATGCGCAGTGTATTACGTTACGGCTCTCCATAACTGCTGAATGAGCTTGTTCGTTGCTTACAGCCATTCCTGATATTAGAATGCTTGAAAAGAGAAAACAAAATACTTTTATGATAGGTACTTTTATTGTAACTTGTTTATGTTCACATAGTCTAAGTGAGGTGTAAGTAGCTTATTTAAAAATTTTATATTGCTATAATAATTTTATTGAATTTAAGGGATTTTACGAAGAATAAAATTAATGTGTTTAAAATGCTTCCGATATTTACATTACTACGAAGATATTGGTAAGTTTCTGTTATGTAGTTTCTTTAGAAATATTTATATAAAATTTTATCTGAAAACCAAAATATCTTTCCTTGTACAGACGAATAATTATTGTTTTATAATATTATTAAGACAATTCAAAATATCTATATGTTTTTGCAATTGTGTGCTCAACTATACAAACCCGTTGGTTGCAAATTAATAGGGAGGACGACTGGGAAAAAAAAGAAATTCTATTAAGTTCTATTTAATCCATTAGTCAGATAATAGAAAAATATTAGATATGTAGTTATTTGCTTTAATTTAAACAAGAAATTTTAAGTTTTTTATTTAGACTTTTTTTTTAAATATATCAACTTATCAAGCTTAGTTAGCCGTTTCATTTTCCAACCAAAAAACTAGCACAGAACCCGTCACAAGCTTTCTAGAACGTTAAAACGACAAAAGTACATATCCCTTCAATCAACATTGGGCTCGCGTGGAGGATCATGGCCCATCCTCCTTAACCATCCATAAGGAAGGCCTGAGTAAAAGGGCTGGTGATGATGATGATGAAATACATATCGGAGTGGCTTCTTAGTTTTTAAAAACTGTTGATCCAATTTTCGTTACTTCTTAAATTATAATAAGTATAAATATTATGTAAGGGAGACCACTTGATTTATTTGTAATAAATTTTAATAGTTTCAAGTTTTTAGCTTTATTTTTAGCTTAAATATATTAAAATTAAAAAATAGACCTGACTATAAATGTAACGAGTGTTCGGAAATTCAACTGCCAATATTTACTTGTATTATAGGTACTAAAATTTTCTCAAAGCTATTTTGATTTCTAGAATTTATCTTAAAATAAATGATATCGTGTTTTTTTTTCTTACTCACCAGCATAAAAAAATCGCAAAAAGTGTCACGAATACCAGCACTCTGTCATTGCAATCTGACTCTTCAGCAACGGGAAATAAAGCTCCTGTTTCCGTTTCGTCATCGCATCTCGATTTAGAGAACAGCGATAATACAGCCAGAATGAAGAGGTATGCTGGTATGACTAAAGCGATGCAAGTAAACGCTATTATAAACGCTAAAAATGTTGATTCAACTTTGATCGACTGAAAAAAATATTAATGAAATTAATTACAACATGAATTGTATGTTATTTTTTGTAGTGTTTCAGCAGTATTTTGGATTATTTTATTTCGAAATACTATATTCATGTAAATTTGTTACTATGTAAAAATGGCCTGAATGGTTCCGAGAAAAGGAGTTAGCGGGGGCACTTCCGTTCCCCTAGATTAACAAAAATTAAAAGACTAAAAAGAAACAACCACAAGTCATCGTACCATATAAAACGAAAACCACGTTTATTGTTTGAAAGCCCTCCTAAATGTTTTTTTCATTCAGTTTTAAGCATTTTATGTTATACAGAAGATACAGAAATACACAATGTGCGAATATTTTAACTATCTATCTGTCACAGTTCATGAGTTACAGCTTAGTGACAGACGGACAAAGAGGCGGACTGACAGCGGAGTCGTAGTAATAGGGTCCCGTTTTATTTGAGTATGGACCCTTATGATCGATGAATATAAAATTCAAGCCTCTTAATTTAGCTCGATAAGTCGTATTTTGACTGTGATAAAACACAAGAAGTGGAAAAAGGACAGATACTATCATGACTATTATTAAGATTATGAGTTACCACAAGATGGAACTAAGCTTTCCTGATAAATCTCCGCAAGTTGTTTGATGTAATCCACGAAAAAGGGCGCAATTAGGATATGATTAATATGTCTTGGTAACAAGAAAAATACGCTCTTCACTAAATAAGGGCAAGCTTCCGTTGTAATCATGGCTTAATAGCCCTCTTCAGCTTCTGACAAGAAACAAAATGTTTTGTTCGGCGCCTTACAGTTTGTTTTGTTTATTTTACACAGTTTAATACAAACCTTATAATTATACCATGTATATGAGAGTTATTGAAATAGATTTCAACAGGTTTAAGTGGAATGAAATTTGGTAGAAATTCATTTTATATTGATATTGAGATGCTTTTAATCAACCAAAAAATGTAGAAGATTTGGCGCTCCTAAATCTTTTTCACGGGTAGAATAAGAGCATAGCTTTAAATAAGACAAAGTGATCCATCCCATCTTGCTTAGAAAATGTTTATGTTAAGTAATATACGGGACGAGCTGCCAATTAAACTGAATTAATTTTAGTAGTGACAAAGCTTTAATTTTATCTAAAAACTCAGTAAAAACTAATCTGTGAGTAACAAAAGTTGCCGGTTTATTAATTTAAACCTAAAAGCTTCAATCATTTCCACTGAATTTAATATTTTGGCAAATTAAAAAACTTATAGAACTGTATGTTACATTCGTATACATTTAAAATAATGCATTATCTTCTATATAATATTTAGTCGATTGATCAACTAAGTTTACTATTAGAATAAAAGAGTGCATAACAGATGCTAATAAATGAATCGGTTGTGGTAAATAAAAAGTCACTGTCAGGAGTCATATAAGTTTGTATTTCAAACTACAAGCCTTGCCGGAACAAAAACTATGGCTTCTATTGATTAAATCGTTTAGAGTGAACTCTAGTAGACATTACTTTTAATTGACTTATATGAAGCCTGAGTAATAAGAATAGGCAATAATCTTTTTTCATCCAGCCAGAAAAATATTTAATAATGATCTTTGTTGTTTATTGTTTACTTAAGTTGTAGGGCAGATGTCCCGGTCTTGGGCACTCCCCTTTTGGAAATTTGGTTCTTCTAACGCATTGGAAAAACAGTTATTTTATTTATATTATAATAAAGGTTATTTTGAAGCTCTATGACGTTACAGCACTGCACCCGACGATGACTTTGATGCTGTATATAAACAAAATAGCATATCTGGGCTTTCATACAAAAGACTGTCTCTTACTATCTCATTAGGCTTGGCAGTGAGATAGGTAGTGACAAAAGATGGCGATTTGCGCGGCAATAAACTTTTTATTTGCCGCAAAATATAAAATTTGCTATAAAGCCCTTAGCTACAAAGTGAATTATATATTTATCCTATAATATAATCGTATTATTATGATAAGAAACTGAAATTTTAGAGGTAACTCTAATTTTTTCTCATGACACTTATTTTGGTTCTTTCAGTTGCTCTTACATAAACCATGCATTTTTGTTATTTTCTATCATAGCTTATTTGGCTGTTATTTCTCTCCACAAAACCACTTGAAATTTAGTAATTTGTACACGCTCTATTTAGTAGAGTGGGTATACCGATTTAGCAAAAAGTTGAAACTAATTCACATCATAGGAAGAATGCTTCCTAACCATAAAATCAGATAACTCATACAATTTGTCTTAATAGCTTGTTTATATAAAAAAATAATGTGTCAAGTAACAGTGTGCCAACGGTGGACCAGGGTGTAAATGGCATATCGATTTTAGTTATGATTTCATGGTTGGTAGAACTAAAACACTGCTACCAAATGTAACAAAATGTCAAGAAAGGCAATAGACGTTGATATTTAAGTTTGAAAATTGAAATGAGTACTACCGGTTCATCTACCTTATATTTTTTTCTAACTTATTTTCAGTCAATATAATAATAAAATGCCAGATTACGCTTTGAATATCGTATAAGTAATGACTAAGTGTATTACGTCTTGATATATATAATATCTGATCCTAAGTACGCTGGTGGAGTGACATTCAATTTCTATTATTTGATAAAAAAATACTCTCAATCTGAATAAGCACTTATAACAATGAAATAATCTTCTGAAAATATTTTATTGGATTTGTATCCGTTTATTTATACAATATTAACACTCTTATGTAAACAGAAAAGTAAACGTGGTTTAAGTTATTATTTTTAAGTTAGAGAGACCTCTTAGATTACAAATGTTTCAAGAAACGGTTCCCCGGATGTAATGAGAATTTTGTTTAGCCAAGCCATAATTAAACTTGTTGCTTTTATTTTTTGTAAGATTTTAGCGGATGTATTTTTAATTTTCATGTCAGTAATGTCACTTAGTAACCTTGTATCTTTATCAAAAGATAATTTTCAAGTCTTTTGTATATTCTTATATTTTAGAGCGTGATTGTATTATTAGGTTACCTGAAGAAAAGAGTACGGGAAAGAAAATTTTCCCCATACAATATCCTTGACAAGACCTAGAAATAATAAAATAGAGAAAATTCAAGTATCTGTTACTATTAATACCAAATAATTCAATACGTATTCAATGAATACGAAACGATAACTATACAATCAAAAGTGAATTCAAAATGTTTCTATGCCGTTATTGCATTGTAAATTTGAAATCCGATTCACCGAATTTATAACGAATCGCTGAGTGTTAGCGTCAGAGCATGTGACTCACGGAACACTGGTTCATAAATTAATAAAACCTTTTTTAATCATGAATAAACTGTACTTACCTACGGGAAATTCAAACGGGTAGATCACCGTAAAAAATTCCGACATAAATGTGAACGGATGGAAGCCTTCTTCGAGCTTAAGCGTTGGAATCAAATAGGTTTCCTTCTGAGGAAGGCCGCTAAATCTTATTTTACCTCTGTCCTCCGTCTCGAACCAATCTTCAGTATAACTCGCTTTTATACTAATTTCCGTTACTGCAGTTTTCAGAGTTATGTTAAAATTCTCGGCTGTTTCTTTAAATATTTCCCTCGTTATTGGTATTACTTGGACCGTCGTTCTTAGAATAGGAATTTCAGTTGTCGTAGCTTCACTTATCTTTCTAATTAAAATTGATTCTGGTCTTTGTTGGCGACGCTCTTCTGTCTTACTTTTCAAAAGATTGTTGTACTTTTCTAGCCAATCTTTCATGGCGTTTGTGTAATTTGATGAATTTGCATCTCGTTTGTTCCAAATTGTACTATTTTGATTATCACCATTATCGTTGTGCGAGTCAATACTTGCATTTTCCATGTCACTAGACAATTTTACTATGTTTGCTGGGTTATCTTTGAATTTGGTTTCTATACAAGGATCCCACACCAAAGACTGTGGTCTTTTAATTACTTCGTTAACGTCCAGATGTTTAGAATAATATGTTTTTTTATTCACTTGATTATTCCTGTCAGAGGAAAGTAATTCATTGTATGCCTCGTCATCTTTGCCATATTTTTTACGCTCAGATTTCTCTTGGATATTCCGCTCCCACTTTATGTTGCTCGACGAGGCACTGCCAATGTCATTTAGATCGTTTCCGTCTGAAGCCTCAGGCGTCACTTCCAATGTCGTCCAGATTTGTTGGATTTGCGATGCAAAAACAACCTCTGTTGCATTCCTCGGTAACTCTGTTACGGTACTAGAATTAATCGGTACAATCGCTTGCACGAGTTGATTGACGAATAATGTAAAAATTAATGTAATCACGTTCATTTCAGAAGCATATTTTTATTTTGACGATGTATTATACTATAGTAACGTGTGTTACTTGGTCGTACTAGGGCTGTACTGAATGGCTACTGGTCAGCGGTCAGAGGATTTGTGGCACTTAGTAGTCTGCCTGCCACGTTGCGCAATCGTATCACGGCTCCAATGTACCTTTACTGGATTATGTGTTGAAGTCAGTATTGAGTGTGTGCTAACTATTCTACATACCGTTCATTTGGAATAATGTTATTTAGATTCTAAATGATAATTCTCGCACGTTAAGTATTTGGTAGATATTTAGATATGGTTTTGCAAGTTTTTATCAAAACTGCAATTTAGGATTCAGGCATTCTTATAAATAAATGCATATATTAATTAAGTCCAAAATAAATATGATATGAAATATATGTCTAGCATTTATTTATGTTTCCCATATTTGAATCACTATGCATTCAAATATGGAAAACATATTTAGTAAGGGTTTTGTAACAAAACCATAATACGTCTTAATATTATAGGATTAAAAGGAGCCAAGGCAGATAATCTAGAGCTCGACTAAGCGGGGTTTTGTGTAATGCTTATGAAATATTACTACATAATGCTTAAACATCAATTTACTGGTAGATAATGTCGAAAGCATTTCCCCAAATATTAATTGCTTTATTCATTACTAGTTTTCTCATTGAACTTGGTATATTTGCGGGAAATCTCTTAAGGAGATTACAAAAACAATTGTTAAGGTATATTTGAAGAAAAAATATTAATACAATTATGGGTTGAATTATTCCAAATAACAACAAATTAATTATTTAAATGAAGTTATCTTTTACCTTATTAAGTGATATAGTAGGCAATGTCCAATGCCGATTTTAATAGAAAAAAAAAACAAGATTTGTTATTACTAAAATCCAAACAAAAATAAATAAATATTGAAAATTATATGTAAAATTTCTTGCATTTAATAGAAACGTGTACTCCGAAGTAAAAAAAAAATGTTAATTCCGTCTAATCGTTCCTAATTCATAATATTATCAAACGAACCGCTATTTTAAATTTTCTTTTGTTCATATACCTATATCTTTGAGGATAAATTGAAACTTCTCTTTAAAATACTTTAGACCGTTACCGATCGGATTTATACTGCTGTGTGCCTAGTCAAAACTGAATAATTCATCCTCTCGACGCCGACTCGGCATCTCACATTTGCTATGTGTTTCTGTATTATGGACGACTAAAGCGTTCTATGATTTGAATGAATCAGTTGTACAATGATTCTGTAACATGGAATCCATGTTTGCAAACCCTGACTGGAAGGACCACATTTGTGACTCAAAGTAGAAAATATAAAATCTTGAATTCATGGACATTAAACTATTTTAAGGCTCTTGGGATGAATTAAAATTCGTTATAACCAGAAAGTTACAATATTTTTGCCGTAATAACGTAAGTTGTAATTTTGGAATACATAGAGAATAGTACAGATTTTCAAATTAAGTAGATACCCAAAGAGGGGGAGAGTTAGTAATGCTTATTTTTCAATACTAATAATATGCGCAAGTTTCAAGGTGGAGATTTATATGGAATATTTCCAAAGTCAAAACAAAATTATAAGATTAATTCATAGTCGCACATTAAATGAAACATGTTTTCTTTTTTTAATTTTTGGACACTATGTTATCATTAAAAATAAATGAGCAATTTGCTAGTTCAATAATTATCAATTTTATTCATTATATTTTTGTATTTTTCAAGAAAAAATATAGAGTATATTTTCTACCAAACCAAGTTAAATGTTTTCATTGATTCTTAAAATAGATGTAGCATGCATAAGCCGTATGTATGGGATGTGACAGCAATTTGAATACCGTAAACATCGTCGCTGGTCTCAACCATTCCTAAGCATTCCCCATCTTCACAGAACGTCGCAAACGCCGCTCCAGTATTCATGGCAATATGACCTCTAGACACAAAAATGTGAAAAGGTTGAAAAGAGTTTTTTGCGTGGCACGGAAACGAGGGCGCCACGTTATATGTGTGTTGAGTAAACATAGTGCTTTTCTTTCGGACCGAGGTTTCTCCGAGATTTTTTAAAGTAAATTGACTAGTCGCAGGTGGTTTGAAGGAAACGGGTCAGCGGGTCTACGTCGTGTCATGTTCATGTGTCATCAGGGATGGATTGAGGATGCCTGTTTTAAATAAAGCGATACCTTCTTTTTATTATTTATAGCTTATAATTCGGTAGCTCTTGGCTTAGTAGATTAGCGCCGCGACCCGCGATCGTTGTTGTTAAGCAACTTTCGCAAGGGTCTGTCATGGGATGGGTGACCAAAAATTATTATCTCGAGCTACTCCGTGCTTTGTAAGACACTTTAAGCAATTGGTTCCGGCTGAATTGTTGTTAAAACCCTCCACTCCGCATAAGGCCGGCGTAGAGGCTCATTATCCATTCTTATTTACCATACATAAGGAAGGCAGGAGCCCCTGCAGTGGGGACGTAGGGCTGATGATGATATAGTATAGCTTCTAATTACATTTTCGCTCTAAGACATGTTTTTTTCTTGAGTTTTATGTCTTGATGCTTAAAAATATGGCGCTCAATAAGTAGTAGCTAGATTTGTGCATTTATTTGCTCTTAGTATTTTTAAAATTAGACAACATATATTTAGTGATACTTCAAGTTTGAATAAGTCGATGGATTATTTATTATATTTGTATTTTAAAAACCTAATTTTTAAAGTAAATTATCTTGCATGTATAATTTGCCATTGTAACTCCTTCAAAAGTGAAACTTTTAGTTATAATAACATTGAATTTAATAATTTCTTTCGTGACTATGCTTTTGTAACTTTCTTCTCAATTTTTTTTTGTGTTGCGTTTCTTGGATACATCCCTGTACTTTACTATTTCTATTAATTATCGCGTCTACTGGAGCGCGGATCCTATCTTCCGAGTCACCATTTTCACCCAAACTTCACGGCCTTCTTTAAATTGCAGTGTAATTAGGTCCTCTATTTACTCAGCGCGTCACATGTATCGAGAAAGATTTTTAGTATCTTACATTCATTTGTGAAAATAGGTTAAGGATAAATTTGATTGTAGGTTAGATTACCATAATGATTTTAAAATTTAATGACACAGTTTTATTAATTTTGGCTGTAATTAGTAAGCGTAAGTTTTCAGATTTGTTCTTTTCGTTCAACAAGTTCGATTTATTTTATATGACAAATGAAAGTGTGACGTATAATTTGTTTTGGTTTCAATATTTCCTTAAATCGTATAATATTTTAAGCACAAAACACAAACTCATTTAAAGTACGAATTGTCCATTTTTTTTTCTTGTTCATGTCATTATCCAATAATTGTAATAGAAGTTCTCTTACACATTATTAAAGAGGTGTTATGGATAACAATATTCTTTTTCTACATGTATTATTCTTTCTATACTCTTTATGGGTTTTGTATTAATTTTAAAGCTCTTTATTCTTTAATATTTACATGGAGTCATTAAAGTTGTGTTGCACCTGATTCTTGTATTGTTTCTGCTTTCCTCACCTCAGGTTTCCTTATTTTTAATAATTGATAATAGAAGTATTTTATTGCATTCGACAAAGAGATAGACAGAAAAACGGAACAAAGCTAAATAGGGTGAAAAAAACATTTTTTTTTAAATTAATTACTTGCATTAAGAAACTACTTAACAACAATAAAGTAACATAATTTCCTCGGCTACAAAGTAATTCACATGTATAAAAGCGGTTAAATCACAGCAAAAAATTAAAAACTGATGATTTTCAGGAGTGACGATGTAACTTTTTCAATGAAAAAATTAAGAAATAATATACCTCAGCTATAATAACAAAACCCTTAAAAATATGACGATGTTTTTTTATTTACAATAACAGCTTATTTGGGTATTAATTTCTATATTAATCCGGTTGAATGTTAGTGGTTTTTTGGTGTGCACGCTATCTTAAGCAAACCTTTTTGATTATACATAATAGTTTCTTATGTTATTTTGTTTTCCTTGCTTTTATGTTTTGAATTAAAATTGACAATATTGTGTAAATATAAAAAATACATTTTTATTATATTTTATAAATATGGAATACAAAATGCTGTACCGAAAAATATAGAATATTTCATAGAATGCTTAAAAATGCGGCCATGGGATTGAATCTCATCTCAGAGTGCCAGGGACAAAGTTGGTTTAAATGCACTTTTTAATTACATTTTTATCAAGTTTCTATTATAGTATATAGGATAAAGAAGGTACTGATAAACTTTGTAGTAGGTATTTCGAGTGTAATTTGAAAATGTCCTCGTACAGAAGTAAATGGATTTATCGTCCTAGTTTGAAACTACGCCGTTTGAAGTTAAGTTTAAAGTTTACATTAGATTCCTATAGACAGGAAAAGTAATAAAATACCCATTAGACGTAACTACGACGTTACCGCAACTACGCAACTAGATTCATTCGCTTCTTTTGTTAAGTTGCATTAAACATTCATTTCAAAAATTTACTATAAAAAAATTATAAAAAAAAGCCTTAGGATTTTTGTTACTATAGCAAGTGACAAGTACATACAGCAGCACATCAGGTTACAATAATATGTTCAGACAAATTCGCAGTAAACATTGAATCTTAATTATTTTGACTTTTTACTATACCTAGATAAATTACAAGAAAAATAATAATAAACATAAAAACTAATTATTTATGTAAGGACCGTACAATGGGTTCGGTCCTCTCTGCCAATCCCGCCAGGGATACGGCGTGATTGCGGGGCTGGACTCCGTGCGTACCTTGTTAGATCTCGGGTCTTCCCCACAGGAGGGTACTCGCAGCGAGTTTTCTTGTCCATGTCCTTTTCAGGACGGATGCAGGGTCGGAGAGCTCTAGTTTAAGGCTCCATGAGCATTTCCTTTCCGTTATAAAAAATATATATATATGTCGGCGAGAAGGCGCTTCGATTATGCGAAACGCCATCTGTCACCCGCAGCTGTCA